ACCTTGAAAATCAAAGTAAGGTACACTTCCAAACCTTGCTGGAAGAGTAATTTTGGTGCCTAAAATTTCTACGATGGCTTGAAAATCTATTTCAACCTTCAGTTATGAAATTTAGACCTCGAAAAATTGTGCGAATCGAGTTTGGTTTCTGTTTTTTTTTTTTGGGAGACAGAGAGACAGAAAAGATTTGTTTAACACTGGAAGACCCTCAAATTCATCTTCCCGACCTCAATATGTCAGGTAAAGAAAAAAAGATTTCAAGTCCTAGGAAGAGTCCATTTTCTGGATCGTCCTTTTTTAAAAATTTTAATAGATTTCATATTAATATAAGAAGACTGCTAATCTGCTATTAAGAAACCATGTTAGTGGTGTTTTTAGGATCTGAAATTTTTTACACATGCTTATTTCACTCGGAAGATTGTTTTTAAAGAGAACAAAATTCTGAAAATGCACCTTAAGAAGTGATTTGTTCGAATGCAGTAAATGTAGGCTATCCATTTCATGTTAGATTTAGAAATTGTTTATTTCTTGAATTAAGTACGTGCAAAGTTTCAGCCTAAAAAACGCCCTTTAGGTATGTGCTTTAGCCAGTACAGATTGTAATAGGTTATGGCATGTATTTGGAATGCAGTCATGCTATACTAATTTGAAAATTTATTTTTTCTTCTCCTATGATCTGTTTCATGTGAGCATTTATAAGTGGAGCTTTTCTAATTGGGTCTGTTACTGCCTCTGCAGGATATTGCATCAAAAATTATGTCATTTTCACAGCAGGGGCCCAGGGCTGTTTGTATCCTTTCAGCTAATGGTGCTGTGTCTACGGTCACGCTTCGTCAGCCCTCGACATCTGGTGGCACTGTGACGTATGAGGTTTGGACTCTTGTTATTTCTTTGTGCTGAGAGAGAGAGAGAGAGAGAGAGGCACTGTGACATATGAGGTTTGGACTCTTGTTATTCCTTTATTCTGAGAGAGAGACAGAGAGGAGAGATAAATGTTTCTTTTGGTTTGTTGTGACAGGGTCGTTTCGAGATACTATGCTTGTCTGGATCCTATATGCTTACAGAGAGTGGTGGGTCCCGTAACCGAACGGGTGGGTTGAGTGTGTCCCTTGCTAGCCCTGATGGGCGAGTCGTCGGTGGTGGGGTTGCTGGATTGCTTTTGGCTGCGAGCCCTGTCCAGGTATTGTTCCGATTTTCCGTTTTTTTTTTTTTTCCTTTTTCCCATTAAACGTAATGCATCTAAAATTGGATTAGCTGCTTGCTGGCCCAATTTAACCATTTTTGTTTATAAAAGAAATTTTTTGCTTACTGGAATTAGATGGTAATGACTGATGAGGTTTTATTACTTTGTATGATTCATGCTTTGTGGAAGCTGATGAACAAAATTGGGGTAGAGTTGAGAATATAGAATTAGAAAGGCTTAACTTTACTTGCATGGGCTATTGTCGTTACATAAAGATCGTTAAAGTTTTGTTTTAAAATTTCATGCTCGGTTGAAGAAAAGTTGGAGTATAGTAGAGATTACATTTAGAAAGTCATGAATTTACATATGCGGGCTTTTGCCGTTATATAAAGGCTGGGATATTCTTTTGAAATTGGGATGTCTTATGTGGTTATAATGGCCGTGGATTGTGGTTTACTTTGACTAAGTAGTTGGGTGAATATGTAGTTTCTCAGTGAATTCAAGTTGTAGGCATGTAAGATGGCAAATTGGGATACTTTTTTAAACTGTTATTTTGGGCATGAAATCTTGTGCCCATAGGGCTCTTTATTATTTTGGTCAGGATTTACCTGGGGATTTTTAGATACATCTTGATCTTGATAATTACTCAACATTCTTGGATGGGGCTGTTCCGTGCAATTTGTTTTATACAGATTCAGAATGCACACCAAATACCTTGCTTACGCATCTCTAATGATAGATATTTATGGTAGCAATATATTATTTTTTCCGTAATCTGGACAGTCATTTATGCGGGATAGAATAAGGGTTTTATTACTTGTTCTCTTTTTCAGGTAATAGTTGGTAGTTTCATATATGGTCGGAAATCCCAACCCAAGTCCCCAAGCACTGAACCCCTCAGGCAAGGCAGGCCTGGTGGCACACCAGGTTCTGGAATATCTGGTCAAGATTCAGGCATGGGAGCCGGAGCTTCGATAAGCCCATTGAGTCAGAACCCAATGCAAAATCCACCTTCAGGGTGGCCTGGCTCCCAATCAATGGACCTTCGAAACACTGATATTAACATCGATTTGACACGAGGATGAATATGCTGGATAACAATGACAATCTCTTTTTTCTCATGAAGAAATTGGACAGTAGAGGCGGTATGTTCAAGCTGTTTCGAAGTAATCTCATGGACTATGGAGTTGGCAACTTTGACCAAAAGAGTTCTAGAAAAGCATGGTTGAATTTGTTTGCGGGGTGGGGGGGAACTTTTCGATTCCCTTTTTGTCCCTGGAAGCACTCGGTAGTTTGCTTATATAATTATGTCTAATACAACATTTATTGCTTTTTAGTTGGGTGAGTTGGGATTTGAGTCTTGGACCTCTTAGCTGCAGCCTTTGTGCCCTGGACATGGCAAAGGCAAGAACCTTGTATCAGTGAAACGGCTTGCCTTTTATTGCGTGGGGTTGCGAACAGCAGTGGCACTCCTGTACAATGCTTGCAATGCATTTAAGGTATCGACACAAGGTATGTGATTTGTCTTTGTTAGGAGAAAATTAGGGTGTTGTTGGGAATAGGTGTCAATTGGGAAGAGAAAAGTGGCCAAGGATTAGGTTTAGAGGGGGGGGGGGGCGGGGGGCTGTTTAATGTTTCTTGAGTTCAACGTTCTTGTTCAAAGTTAATGTTAAAAAAATGACTCAAAAGTGTATAAGCCAAAGTGGTGGGCATTTTTTCTTCTCTTTTTTTTTTTTTTTGTGTTTGAAAATGTATGTGGTTCGGGTTGGGATTGGGTTTGAGGAGTTGGCTTTTTTTCTTCTCTTCTTGATTTACATATTGGCTATGCCTGCTTTATCATATGGGTGGGGCTTTCCCTTCGTAACTTAAGCAAAACACTATGAACTTTTAAGCAGCATGGATACATATAATACACAGTTAGGGCTTTCTCCTTGTTATATGGGAGAGACATTGTGATCAAGGTGCAGCAGATCTGTTGTAGCAACCATTAAATTCTCCCATACTTGTTTTGTTCAAGGAAAAGTTCATTGAATTCTGGGTTGTATTATATTAGGAAACTTATGTACCTGCCAGCTCATGGGTCCATATATTTCTATTACGCATGTGCTAATGCGTGAATCTATATTTAGGATTTGAATCCCGCCCTCATATCACTGAGAATGCATCCAAATATTGCAGATATGGTGATATATGAAGAGATGAAGTGTGAATATTACAAACTCCAAACAAAGAATTGAACTATTTATAACTTTCAAGTTTTTATATTTTATATTTTTATTTTTAAATTCATGATAGTAGTGGTTGAGATTATTGGCCGATGAAATTTTGAGATTTTGAAAACAATGTGTCTGCGGCGCAACTAAATCCTGCTGTTGACTGAATGACTGATGGATGTTATAAATTTCTTCATGGCAACACACATGATGGAGCTTGCCTTTTGCACTAATGGAATATCTCTGTGATGCCTCTCTCTGACTTAGAAAATTAGTTTGTGCATTGTATCTTATTACTATTTATCTTTTTGTAACCTTTTCACCAATTGGGGTTTTGGACATAGGACTGATGGCTAGGGAACAAGTTTTACCGTTCGGGATGGTAGAGCATTGGGACCCTGTGCGCAAGCGCTCTTTACGGTTCAGATTGAAACTAGTCTCACCCAAGTGTTACAAAAGAATTTTGGTTTTTAGTTTCTAATGTGTTTTTTTTATTTTGAAGTGATATTTTTCTGAAATTTACGGTGCAAATTAATTTTTTATAAATGAATAAAACAATAAAAAAATGGTTTTAACGAAAATATTGTTTTGAAACACATGGAATGTTATTGCTTTAAATGTATTTAGGACAAGATCTTATACATATTTAGTAATACGATGCAACAATTTTAAAAAACCATCTTATGGTCATTTGTTTGATCCAAAATTTGAAATATACTCTCTTAAAAAACCATTTTAGGGCAGTGATTTCATGCATTAAAAAACCTTATTATGGCCATTAGTTTGATTTAAATTTTAAGATGTACACTATTTTAATCATAATGAATAATCACAAAAAAAGAAAAAAGTGTAAACATAACTTAGGATGTATTTTTTAGTCCAATTAACATAGATCGTTTATTTTGGTGATATCCTTGGATCTAAACTTTAGGAGTTTTTCATTTTCAATTTTTTTGGATGGTTTTATTATTATTGATGAACAATGTTAAAAATGAATAAAATATTTTTGAGTTTATAAATGCTATGATCTTGAAATTTCCAAAATGAATGGTCTAGATTCATTTTTGGAGAGGATTCTTTTGGACGATTCCTACGGTTTGAATTGAATTTTTGTGTTTGGGTAATTGGTTTATTGAGAGAAAAGTGTGGGTATACAAAATTTAGTGTCATACAAATACCATAAACATGGATTTCTAAAAG